AAGGGAGAAGCAGAGGTTGCAGAAAGTGAGGTTCCGAAGCAGAAGAAGAAGAAGGGAGAAGCAGAGGTAGCAGAAAAAGCGGTTCCGAAGCAGAAGAAGAAGAAGGGAGAAGCAGAGATGGAGAAAGCTGATGACTTCGTGATGCTCATTGCCACCGGTGGCTATGGTAGAGGTGAAGCAGAGGGTGAAGAAAGTGAGAGTCCGAAGCAGCAGAAGAAGAATAAGAAGAAGGTAGAAGCAGAGGCATACAGTGAGGTTGAGCAGGAGGTTCCAAAGCGAAAAAAGAAGAAGACAGTAGAAGAGGAGGAGGTGGAGGAGGATGAGGAAGAATGCGAGGTTCCGAAGCAGAAAAGGAAGAAGGTGTCAGAAGTTGAGCCTGAGGCTGGTTCTTGCCAGGTATATCAGCAGTTATACATGACCAAACAAACACTATGCCCAAGTTTTTCAACTTTTTGTCTAGGCTTCCAAGAAGATGGTCGCACGTGTTCCAAGCCAAGAGTTTGGTTTGGTGCGTTTGAGAACCAAGAACTCTCGAGACAGTTTGATCGGTGAGGATGCCTTTGTCACCCCAAAGCGGAAGATTCCATTCCAAGCATCTCCGGCCGATCAATCTTCAACCATGCTACTTGGCTCAGGTAGTGGTGCTGCGTTCTTTCTATCTAGCGGTTTTGAAGCTGCAAAAGATGCCGCATATATATGTATTTTTCTTGAAAACATATCTATAGAATATATATATATACATATGCAGTCATATATTCCATCTCCAGGTCGAGATCGCTCTCGCGGGCTAGCGCCCCTCGGCTGGAAAATGAATCAATCTGCAATCCTATACTTGTTGCAGCTATCATGCCAAACCTTTGAGGTTGGTGATGGCCCTATCCATGAGGCCTCAGCCCAGACTAAGAACCACCAGTGGGCCCTAACCCAACTGCTACTCTCTGCCAGGCTGCTCCAGTCGCCCAGAGTGGCGGAGATGGCAGAACCATTGAGGTGCCTTGGATCAACGCTGCCGTGGAATCTGCTTGAACAAGTGTTCATTCATCATTTCTGGTCAAGGTCGAAGGGCTTGGACCGATGACGGCCGAGAAGATCCGTGGTTTATCCCAAAACCAAATCCCTATTGAGAAGCGCCGAGCCCTTTACAACTCTATGGGCCGCAGGGTGACGGCAGCGGTGGGCCTCAAGCCTGGCTTGGTTGAAAAGTACAATGCTGTAGCTTCATGCCGAAAGGAGCGCTGGAACATGCTCAAAGAGCTCATCATCGACCAAGACATGTTCTTACCTGAGTGGAGTGGAACTGTGTTTGCATTGGTTTGCCCAACAGCAGATTGAGACATGCACACCCAACATGTCCAAGCCAACCAGGTCAGGGGTAGAAGTGGAAACCTACTTTGTTCGGCTCTGCCCCCAGTACATTGCTGGGTGCTGTGGTTGTGTTTGGCTCCGCTCGACTGAGGGAGAGCGAGAAGAAGAGGGAGGATAGGTATGAAAAGCTACCGTTGTTCATGATCGAAAAGGAATATGGTGGGACGGAAGCTGGCAGGTGGGATTGACTCGTGTGGGTTTGACAGGTTGTAAGTGTCTCTCATCTATGGGAGTGTGTTTCCAGGGACTACATTGAGAAGATCAAAGCAAGCTGGTTGCCCAGTTGCCGAAAGCCACAGTAGCCATTCTGCAAGCTCTGCTCCGGCAGGCCAAGCTGGTGAATCAAATCCGCAGGTTCCTTGGATGCATCGGGATGTGACAAGAGCCTGGACTCATGAATCATGAACGTGCGAACCTGCAACCTTCTGGAGATAGGTTCATGAAAAACATACATGAAGGACTTTGCAAGAGATGTTCTAACAAAAACTCCGCGCCCTACCACTCGTCTGCCGCGCTGGCTCAGTTTCCGGATGACGACCGCTTCAAGATCTACAAGGTCTTCAAGAAGCATGTGATCTCCAGTGGCTTGGAAAATTCATTATGGTATCACGGTACCACTGAAGATTTCAACATGGTCTGGAAAAAGGCTTGTTCAATTGCATTTCTTTTTCTGTGTGGATGGTAGCTTGGAAGCCAACTGGCCTTGAATCCACCATAATCGTCCCTCAACAGTGGTGCAATCTTTGGCGCATGTCCAAGGTGCAGATATCACCCGGGGCGGCACCAAGACCAGCGCCAGTGGACTTGTGACCTCAAAGGCAGGTAAGAAGGCCATTAGTGATAACATCGATGCCCACATTGCGGAATTGGAGTCTGACATCAAGAAGGAGGGCAGGTCCAAACCTACTGGTCCCAAGAATGGGAATCACAAAGACAAGAAGAAAGATGAGAACAAGGAACTTCAGAAAGACATAAAAGCGTTCCTCATTCCCAATCTATAGAATGTTTTTTTGCAACACCATGTGCAACCTGACCTTTTTGTGAAACAGCCGTCCGTATGTTCTGAATCAAGGCTTCGTGACAAAGCGGCAAAGTCGAGAGAGTCCGCCATGGACATCACTGCCTTGGGAATCCCACACCAGGAGGCAATGCCATTTATTTAAATGGGGTTTTGGAGGCACACGCTCATGCAAGCCAATGCTATTTAGCGCCTCTACTATGGCTGGAAGGCCCTCAGCCAAAGCCTTCAAGCCCACCATGCTCTCTTTTCAAGCCTGGCCACAAGGACCTTTTAGTTTCCCTCCTCCCGACAAGGTTTGGTTTTTGGTGGGGTCGCAGGATGGAACAAGCAATCTTCGAGAAGCTTTCTGTGGAGCAAGTCAGGGCCATCTATGAGAAGAAGAAACCGAAGCTGGAGGCCATGTTGGGTTTCCCAAGTGTTCTATATTCCTCTCAAGAACTTGCAGGCAGCTTTCAATGACCTCGAGAATGCAGCTAGCACCATCAAAGGCTGGAAATCCCGCACGATGCCTAGCTATTGTGATGCAGCGGTATTGCAACTAGAATATTCAAGGATTCAAGGAATGCTCCGTCCATCTTGAGGACACTAGTTAGACTGTTTTGACCCGTCCTGACTCCAAGGTGCAAAGCGCAAGCAAGAGGCGAAGGCCAAAGCGAAGACCAAAAAGGAACCACAGGCTCAGGAAAAGGAGGTAGTAGACCTGGAAGACGACTCTTGGTTGGAAGAGTGGGGAGAGTACTATGAAGATCTCCAGGGCTACAACTCTGGCTTTGGTGATGAGGGCATTGGTAGCTGACCGAAGTGTCACCGCGGGGATTTGTTTGCAAACTTGGGCATGCGTGTTCCTCAACATGCTTAGAGCTCAGGTTGCAGGGTAGTTCACTGTGAGCGATCGAAGCCATACGTTTGCCAAAAAAGAACCTGTCTGCCAGTCATGCGCCTATGAACTGCTTTTCCTTTGAGTTGATCAACCCCTGCCCCAGCTCCAATGACAAAATCTCACCCGCAGTATTTGCTATCCGTGCAGGTTCGCGTTGGCCGAACAACGGAAGATCATCGATGTGCTAGTGCAGGACCTGTTCAAACAAATGGCCAATGGAAAGGCTGCTTGGTCTTCAATCCGTCCCATGCCAATCCAAACTCCTTTGAACTTGGAATCACTGTTGGAAGTGGGAAATGACCGTTGAGAAATGAGCACCATTTCCTTTACCCATCCGCGCCACCCCATATGCAGCTAGCGTCCATGGACTGCTTGAGGCGTCTTGCACGCAGCTGCGGAAGCTCGTGGTGGACATCTGCAAGCTCAACCATTCCTTAATCCCGTGGCTTTGGCTGCAAGAGGGGTTTGGCAAGGCAAAGGCGTAGCCCTAAAAAAATATACCGCCGCCGATTCATCGATCAAGTTCGAAACCAAAGAATTGAAATCTATGTTCCAACTCTAACTACTGTGGTCTTCAGGAAAGAGATTCTCCAGCTCAACGAGCGCTTCCTTTGTGGCGGAGGCTGGGGTCTGGAGAGAACCCTGAACAAGTGGGTGGTCAAGCAGAGCTGGCGGAAGATTTTGCCCCTGGAGTTTTTTTCGAATCTCGTCAGTAGTTTGGAAAGCTGTTATCTTTTTACCAGTGACAAAGTTCTCCAGATTTGGGCCTCTGTCCAGTCCATCTCTTTCAACTTCATGGGCAGTAGCCCAAACAAAGTGATCAGGTTCGATGTGCAGGCATCTTTCTTCCCATCTAGCATTCTTTTGTTCGTTTCTTGGTTTGTTTCCACAGTCATAGTTCCAAAGCTCATCACAACCAAATCACCCAGACTTTGTTTGGCCTTCTCTGTCCAGGTGCAACAAACTGAGCAGCAGGTGTTACTCCGTGGCCGCCGCACATGCAAACAATGTGTCATGTTGCCGCACGATATAGTATCCTCTGTGTACCAGTACCCAGTGAATTTTCACATGCTTTTCTTGGGCGTGCCTGACCGGTTAGAGCGCTACTGGTCAGAAAATCTTGACCTCTTCAAATCCTTGCAGATGTCTGCAGGGGATGCATGGCTGAATATGGCAAAGTTTGATGCTAGACACTGTTCCCACCAAGTAGTATGGTTTTATCCATGGCTGTGCCAATCACAAGACCCTAGGATGCTCATACCACTATTCCATTCAGAATTTATGGTGATGGCGCTGATGCCCAGCAACATTTCGAAATCCTCACGATTTTGCCTGTTCTGGCGTGCGGTCGGTCTACAGAAGACTCGCGGATATTAGTGGCTGTCCGCAATACAGACCACACCACAAGCGCGGCGAGGGCCCGCATTCTGGAAGTCTTGCGGTGGAGTTTTCAATCCATGCGAGCCTCGAACTGAAAAAGTAGTTTGTGCTTTCAATGTATGTTTTGGGGGTGCATTGCATGCAGGGTCGTCCCAACTGGATTGAACAAATTGAAAACTCCAAGGAGAAGGGATCCATCCAAGCGCTGATCCCTGGGGCCGGAGCTTTAGTGATGAGTACTATCCACGCCGGCGAGATCTCAGTGGCTCCCGTCTAGCTGGGCCCTACACTTTTATTCTTGATGGGATACAAGGTGACCAAGACTTTATTGCAGCGCTGTTCAGTCTCAACCGTCCCCCAGCTCCAACTAAGGTGAACCCACCCCATTGTTTTGGAACCAAAAATCTGCCATCCAAGGCTCCAATAGGCACACAGAGTGTTGCTATTTATGCAGAGCTGTTGCTTCCACTGGAGATGACTCGACTGACACCCTATATACCAATTTTGGACGAGATGCAGCATACAGGGATCAGCTTCTCGTTGTCCATCCAGCGCTGCAAGACATGGCTCGAAAATGAATGTAAGATCAGGTGAGGTATCCAAGAATCTAAAAAATGTTGTGTTTTGCTGTTGCCACACGAGGTTGACCACGGTCAATGAATTTATTGTCTGCAATGGCACCACTCCGCTCACACAAATACCGGGGTTTACCCCTTGGAGAAACTCAGTGCTGCGCTGAAAGGTTTTTGGTTCCCTTTCAACTTGCTTCCCCATCCTTCCAAAAAATAGTGTTGATTGGGTTTTGGACCAACTAAGGGATTTACCCTGATCTCCTCCATGTGTTAGACTTGGCTCTTCTGGTGGATGTTTACATTTCCACATTCATCGTTTGGACTGATAAACAAGATCTTTTTGACGGGAGATCCCGGGATGAGCGGCTTCTGGCTCTGTACCGAAAGTACATGCAGTGGTGTGACGCCAACAGAGTCTCAGCTTACGCTTTTCTAATTTTGAGGTATTCAACCCTCCAAGCAACTTTGGGGTCTCCTTCAAACAAATCAAGGGGGGTTTCTTGAGATATTGTGGCCAAGGAATTCCCAATGGCTGCCGGGCCAGGGCTCTCCTGTTTACCAGCCAAACTCTTATCAAGAAGAAATCTGCCTATCCACATGTGGGGCAAAAGCGTCTCAATGGGGCGTCTTCAAGGATGATGCTCTATTTTGTGCTGGCTGCTTCGAAACAGATCAGTGAAGATCACCATGAAGTTCAGATCTACAGGTGCAAACCAGGGTCTAGTTTTTGGCAGGCTACAAGTCAAACCGTTTCAAGTTTAAATGGCTAAGTTCTGAAAATTTTGCCTACTAGGTGGATCTATGATGTGGTTTCTTCACTGGCAAAAATCACAATCATTTATGCACAGCTTGGGCCTGGCAGAATGCCGCGTGAGCGGGCTCGACTGGTGGAACAGCACTACATGACTTACCGTGTTGCGTACAACCGCTTCTTGACTAAGTCGAAAACACTGCAGTAGTAGCCTAGTCAAAACAAAAATTGCCCAGGACTTGCATCGTGGGCGCTGGATGAAGAAAGGCTCTTGTACCCAGTACGCCCAAAGGTTCACATGTTGGAACATACGAGACTTAGCAGAATTTGTCTATTTAACGCTCACGTTGAACTC